AAACAAAAAACAAATAAACAACAAACAAACAAAAGACACGTTTAATTGAATCGCTGGACGCATGGCGACATTGAGAAAAAACCATTCAGTGTTTGCTGTCCGTAAGTAGAACGCTTAATTAAATGTATTCGATAAATCATTTGAATTGGACAGACCATTCAACGCTTTTGTTGAACGACTTTTAAGTTAAGCACCATTTTAAACAATTTTCGAAGGTGCCAAAGTTTAGAACCATTTTAGAACCATTTCAGAACCATTTTAGAACCGTTCTGCAACCTTTTTAGAACCTTTCACATTTCTGTTTTTGTCACAGCACGTAAAACATTGAATGGAATTGTTATGCTTTGGTAATGTTTGTTAGTTTGTATGTTAGTTTTGTAATATGTTTTTGTACGTAGGTATATACATAATACATATACATGTTTGCGTAAATGTATGTTTGTCTATATGAAAATATGTTTGTTTCAAACGGTTTCAAATAAAATGTTATGTATGTATGTATGTATGTATGTATGTATGTATGTATGTATGTATGTATGTATGTCTGTATGTATGTATGTATGTATGTATGTATGTATGTATGTTTGTTTGTTTGTTTGCGTCTATATTTGTATGTATGTGCCTTTATTTTTGTCGTTAATTAATGAATAACAGCATTGGATTCGTTTAAAGTTTAAACTAAGTTGAAAGTTTTGTTTATTGTTTGCTTTTTATCAATTTTGTTGACAATTAGATCACCATAATAATAATAATAATAATAATAATAATAATAATAATAATAATAATAATAATCATCATCATCATCATCATCACCAATGACATCATCGTCATCGTCAACGTCATCATATCATTATCATCACGCCAACATCATCATCAGGAAGGGAAAAAGTTTTAAACTCAACCATGGATGCATGATTGAATGTTTCTTCCACTCATCAAGCCATATTCAGCGGCTTTTTGCTGCTGTTGTAGCTGCTGTTGTAGCTGCTGTTGAAGCTGCTGTTGTAGCTGCGGTTGTAGCTGCTGTTGTAGCTGCTGTTGTAGCTGTTGTTGTTGTTGTCTTGGTTGATGTAAATGTTGACGAACCATTTGTTTTGGCTGCGTCGGAAAGTTTGATTTCAATGGCTGCTGTTGCAAATGTCGATGCTGTGTTTGTTGCAGTAGTAGTTGTTGTTGTTGATGCTGTTGCAGTTGTTGTTGATGCTGTTGCAGTTGTTGTTGTTGATGATGCTGTTGCAGTTGCTGCTTCGGTTGTTGTAAAAGTGGATAACTCTTTCCCTTCTTACCACCAGACACTTCATCATCATCATCTTCCTCTTCCTCATCATTATCCTCAATGATGGTTACGTTGCAATTACTCGCCGTTATTTTACAACCAGCTGCTGCACTCCCACCAGCCGACTTGGCGGAAGAAGCAGCTGCTATCACAGCTACAGCTGCTTCGGCACCACTTCCGGGTAGCAGCGGATTTTTTCTGGTTAAGTTCGGCTGACCAGCGCCAGTTACGCTCCCGCTAATTTTGTAGCCGCTACTCTTCGGTCTGACTGCCTCAACTGGAAGCACGCGACGTCGTTGTTTCGGCAGCTTGGCTCTGGCTTGGGTGTGCGAATAGAACATTTCGAAGTTGCTGACGATGACGGGGACTGGTAGGGCGATGGTGAGCACGCCTGTCAGAGCGCAAATGGACCCGACGAACATCCCCAAATAAGTTTTTGGGGTCATGTCTCCGTACCCCACCGTCGTCATGGTGACGATGGCCCACCACAGTCCAACCGGGATGGAGTTGAAGTTGTTGTCGGGGTTGTATTGGATCCTCTCGGCGTAGTAGACGAGGGATGCGAAGATGACGATGCCGATGACGAGGAAGAAGATGAGGAGCATGAGCTCGTGGGCACTGGCTTTGAAGGTGTGGATGAGAATTTTGAGGCCTGGACTGTGTCGGGTCAGTTTGAAGAGCCTCATGATGCGAATGATGCTGAAGAACTCGAGGATCTCGTTGTCTTTCTTCATCCGGGTTGTTATGAAGTCCAAGTAGAACGAGAAAGTGGCGATGAAGTCGATCAGATTGACAGGGGTCCGAACGAATTTGAACTTTGCTGGGCTGACGATGAAGCGAATGATGAGTTCGAAGGTGAACCAGCCGTTGCAGACGCATTCGATGTAGAAGAAAGCATCGTGGGGCTCTGTGTGCGGCTTTTCCAGACGGAATGCTGGGTTCGTTAGGCCGGAGATTGGCGGTCGCTTTCGGAATGGTTGAATGTTTTTCCTTGCGTGTTGCTGCGGCTGTTGTTTGTTTGTGTTAAACAGCTGTTGTTGTTGCTGTTGTTGTTTATAAAAATGTAGTTGTTGTTTATTGTTGTTAATTTGTTTATACTGTTGGCTCGCATGTTTTGGTAGATTTAAATTCTCGTTAGTGCGTAGTTCTTTAATGCTTCTCTTGCCATCATCATCATCGTCGTCGTCGTCGTCATTTGTGTCATGGTTGTGTCTTCATTTCCTTTATGTG